AGACGGGCACAGGATGGCCCCACCGTTACACCTGGAGCAGTCTAGCTCATCAGAAGCGTCCAGACAGTCGGGTTTAGCGTCACACCACGAGGAGGACGGCACCGGGATCCCATTGGCACATACCGTCAGGTCATTGTTGTCCACGGGAACCGGAGAGCAGAACTCCTCGTCCGAACCGTCCGAACAGTCGCTGACGCCGTCGCAGACGTGAGAGTACCAGAGCAGACGTCCAGACGTACAGGTAAAACGCCTATACAGTGGTGTGCCACTTAGACCAGCGCAGTCGACTTCGTCACTTCCGTCAAAACAGTCAGAAACCCAGTCACATCGCCTTGACATTGAGACTCTTTCTTTACTAGCGACGCACTCAAACATTTCCCTTTTCGATGCCCAAACAACGGTTGGGGAGGAAGCTAAGATTGGTTTTACTTCTGATGCTCTTCTAACCTCGCAGGCTATATGAACGTTTTGTTGCTGAAAAGAAGACGTAGAACGTATTACATCGTATTCTATTTTGGTCCAGATCTCGAAGCAGGGTATGTTGGCTACTTCCCTTTGATTAAGCTCGGTCATGTAGTCCCATGCAGCGCACGTGGCAGAGATGTCCGAGACGAACTGCTGTATGAATCCATTGAATATAGTAGTCCCATCCAGGCTTTGGTATAGCTTCCGATACAAAAGATCAGCTCCAAAGCTCGAATGTCTGAAACCCAGATACCAGGGCGTGGAAACAGGATATTTTACAATAATGAGGTCGGAAATAAATTTCAGTTCTTCTTTCGAATTTGGGGTAACCAAATGACCATTGTATTGCTGCATGCAAATGTCTTCTGCTTTTTGCCAAGTGACAGTAGAATGTGGGGCTTGGAGATGATAGCAGCTCGTCCCGAAGACGTGACCATCAGGGCACCAAGTTTCATTTACGTAAGTGCACTTCGCTTCGTCCTCTCGTCCATCGCAATCGTCTCGAAAATCACAAAGAATGTGTAGAGGAAGGGAAAGTTCATGGCCCGAACAGTTGAGTACAAATTTGTCAATTACCGGAATGTATGAATCTTTACTGGCAGCCGTGTACCACATTTTAAACCCTTTGCCGTGGCTGTACCTATCTGTGAAGAACGCAACTTTGGCGCGGTAGCTGGGAAGGGTGAGGAAATAACCATCTTTAACACGGTAGTCAGCCTGGAAGAAAGATACGTCTACAGCATGGTGTTGGTCAGTATGAGGATGTCCTTTTGTGGAAATGCTTACTGAATCGATACCGTAGCTAATTTGGTAAAACTCGAAGGACAGTTGGATAACGCTGTTATTTGATACTTCGATATCCCACTCACAGCGAGTATAAGGCGGATACCTGTTACCTTCTCTGTACCCGGGGGACGTGATGAATCCAGACTGACCCTCATGGACAACTGTATGCTGTGACTTGCACATACTGACCACCCGATCCCTTCTGTCGCACTTCCGGAATTTTAAGGAAAAGGAAATTGCGTCACGACATAGCATGTTCTTCCGTGTTTCCACTCTCATGTCTACAAAAGCCGGGGCCACTTTAAATGGTTTAGGGGCTATGTTGCCACAAAAGGCGATACTCTGAAAAGCAAAAAACACTCGACTGTCTGTGCATGAGTAAGATCCGTCCGAGTTGAGCATGAGAGGCGACGGAACGTTAAAGTCCAGAAATTCCATACTGAACTCTGACCCAGAAGTTGAGTCAATGAAAAATCGAGTTGTGCACCCAGCTGCACAGCACGGCGACCGGAAGTGGATAACCCCTTCTTCCCCTGTGATTAGCAGTCCGGCCTCGGAGCCACACTGGAGGCGGAAGGGAGCAATACTTTCTTCAGTATTTACATAAAATGGTCCCCGGACGCTATAATACGTGCTGCCATCGAGAATTTTCTGACAGTTCTTATAAAAGTTCACTTGAGCAGAACTTTGTCGTTTGACTCTCTCCAACTCGTCTCGGGAAACATTACTTAATAGATGTCCAAGATTAAAATTATGTGTTTCGCGGTTTTCTTGTTTAACGGACCACAAGTTGTTCTCCAACTGCCTACTGTAGACAAGACTGGGTCTCAAATCGTTGGTCACAGAAATGTGCTCGCCAGATACAGTGTACTTTGTCTTTTCTGTCCAGGATGATTTCACATCACTTGTTCTCCGTGAGCGCGTGACGGTACACATTATAGAAATAACAAAGAAAATGACGTGTATTCTGGGTTTTCCCGTATTCAGAAATGATCCGACGCTGACTGACGCCATTCTTCATGCCGCTGTTGTTTATAGATCGTTCACTGCAACAGCCTGGGCGTCTGTAAGGTAATGGTCAGATTCAATACGCCGTTGCAGGCACAAGACAAGTAGCCACCTTAGAATGACATAGTTCTATCTGACATTTTTGGAAGTTTTGAGTTACTAAGGCCATGAGGTCAGAAAGCAAATGTTCGATCTGCAGTATCGAAATCGTAAAAATATTCGGATTATCAAGATTTATATTATGGAGGTCTACTTCATTGAACTTCTCTCTCTCTCTCTCTCTCTCTCTCTCTCTCTCTCTCTCTCTCTCTCTCTGCTTGGCTTCAGTATCCCACTTTGTCTGGTTGGCCCCAACAAGCAGAGCTAAGGAAATTTGCTTCCTGAATTATATTATATTTGAGGCAAAACCAGGTTCAGTCACTCACAGAAGACACTGATTCATTTCAAACACAAAAGTAGTTTCATTTATTTCTCTGAGTCGAAAGGGAATGTTTTTCCGAATGGAAAAGAAATCCACTCTTTAGATCAGATACGCGTCGAATAGTAGCTCTTTCTTTCTTGAGGGGAAGAATTACGGCAGATCTTTTTAAAAAATCACTTTTTCATTACATTTTATAATGCACCCAATCGGACAATAATATTAGACAAAAGTATGGAAGCTTTATCCTGCGAGGTTCGGCAACATGAAAATTAGAAAACAGGTTCCAATGAAACTAAAAAACTCAAACTTCCAAGAGATAAGAGAAAAAAAGCTTTAAAAATCTCAGAAGGTCATTCTTCCTTTTCGGACCTCGTGGCTCGGAATGGCCAAGTGCGATGTACGTCTGATTATGACTGGCACTGACACATAATATATCCCGACTATTTACTAAAGAAATTACCACGCCGTCCACGAAAAGTTGAACTGACTGTGTTTTCCAATTTGTATGAACAGGCCATGCTAAAAATGCATTCATTTTTGTAGAAACAACCACACTAGCTACAACTACTGCGTACACGTTTCACAGAGTTCTGCTCCGCTCGTTACTGAGAGGTTCAAATCCTGGAGCTGAATACAAGCCCCTTAGTGCACACCCACGGAGTGAGGTCAGAATTTACACTGAGCAAACCGTGCAACAAAAGATCAAAGCAACGACATCACGACAGTCCATTTAGAAAAGCCAGTAAACCACAAAGTCATCTTATTTAAGTTTTTGTTTTTTATATTTTATTTTCGACAAGACATGTTAAGGGTCAATGCACATATCCCCTAAATTGCCCGAAAATGAGACAAAATCCTGTTCAATCACACACAAAAAGACCGGTTATTAATTTCAAACACAAAATAAAAGCTGTTGGAAAACCTTGCTTTCCACTACAGCTCGGACTGAAATTCGTTTTCAAGTGTAATGTGTTTGAATAGATTATATCAAAACTTTATTAACAAGTATAAAAATTCAACTACAGTGTATTGTCAGCTCCTTTCGTATATTCAAAAGAGCCAGTAAGCCTCGAAGACATCCTTTTATACAAAATATTGACAAATTTTTCCTGAGCGTCACAGCCATCGTCCCACCCAGAACATTTTTTTAAAAAATCAAACAAACAAAGAAATGACTGGGTGATTTCTGCTTATACAAACAAAGAAATGACTGGGTGATTTCTGCTTATACAAACAAAGAAATGACTGGGTGATTTCTGCTTATACAAACAAAGAAATGACTGGGTGATTTCTGCTTATACAAACAAAGAAATGACTGGGTGATTTCTGCTTATACAAACAAAGAAATGACTGGGTGATTTCTGCTTATACAAACAAAGAAATGACTGGGTGATTTCTGCTTATACAAACAAAGAAATGACTGGGTGATTTCTGCTTATACAAACAAAGAAATGACTGGGTGATTTCTGCTTATACAAACAAAGAAATGACTGGGTGATTTCTGCTTATTACAAACAAAGAAATGACTGGGTGATTTCTGCTTATACAAACAAAGAAATGACTGGGTGATTTCTGCTTTAGGAACAGTATCAGACAGCATTATGTTGCGACTGCCACTAGTGATTAGATTTAATGAAGGAAGGAAGGAAAAGTCGTCGGAGGCTGGCTGCTTTGTCCGTGCCTGTAAGGTTCAGGCTCCACCCGGGCTGATTCACTCCAGCAACCCAACAGAACGACGAAGATACTCCATCCACTTGCTAGAAAGAATCGAACTCACATCTTCTGCAATGGAGGCAAAGAGCATATTATTTATTTCACGGAATACTGCGTTAAAGTTAACAGGAAACAAAGAAGGCAGGATCTAGAAAAACTATTTAGTTGTGTGCACCATGGACTGGCTTGAGTCCTCGTGGAGCCATTAAGTAAAAGCTAGTTCTATTCATATCTAATTCATAAGTACTAATGATTCCACAGTGACCAGCAAGGGAGAATGAGCATTGTCAAGCGTGCTGCCAATCAATTAAGCTTTATTGGGTCTCTCTACTTGGATAGAAGTCAGAGAGAGAGAGAGAGAGAGAGAGAGAGAGAGAGGG